AGTTCTGTCTACCCAATTTCATTCACAAGCCTTGCGTCAACATTTGGTATGGTTTTCAGGCACTTTCCAAAGGTGAAGCATGCTAGGATCATGTTCCCAGACTGATAATATCAAGAAGTCACTTTCCTGTCAGATTGACCATAATGAGATTTGAACCCAGACCTCATGGTCTTAAAGTGAATGGTCTAACCACTCAGCCATGTTCCCATATGCAGTTGTTATACATACATGCATGCATACATTCATTCCAGTTGGCCCTGTGGCTTATACCCACATAGGCTTTACCAGTTTTAACAAGATATTGTTAGAGGGTGCTGTTAAGCACCTCTAAAAATGGGACAGTTCCTGTCTTCGTTCTCTTCTCTCCCTCTCTCTTTTTCTGTTCAGCATGCTTTAGTAACAACATGACCATGACCTTCTCCTGTGTATAGTGCAGGGGTTCTCAAAATGGATGAAATTTACCTCCAGGGAGTGAATTTTGGATTTTCATGGGTGAATTGTGACCACAGTGAGTTTAGGGGGTGGGAGGAGAACAATTATAGAATTTGGCCTATCTGGCCTGTCACCTTGAAAAGGAGGGTAGAAATGGCATTCTGACAAATGGTGAAAGAGGTGCATCAGACAAGCAAAGTTGAAAACCTCTGGTATAGGGATTTATTTCCCCGGGTGACTGAACTTACATATACACATGAGTATCACCCACATATCACCCAACTTTTAATGTTCTTTTTCTTCTGCATACATACTAGTGTGTTTTTTACTCAGTTATATAAAAGCTTTGCTGACATTTTCTTTACACCAGTTATTCACATGGGCAAAATGATGCTGCCATTGCTTTCAGTCTAACTAGAAACAGTGCCTGAAACAGTCCTCTCAAGTTTTCAGTTCTAGCAGTCTTTTACTAATCTAAGCCATGGTTGCCTTGGTATTAACCAAATGACTTGCAGATACCATGCCTGTCATCTTTTCTATATCTTTTCAACCAATTCTTGCATGATAGAAAGATGACTTTCTTTTAAATGCTTTTATTAGTTCTTTTTAGTCCTGGGTATGATGATAAACTACATCCAGCAGCAAGGCCTCTGATCAGGAGATTGGAGGTTTTGAGGAGCATAGAACCACCTCTTAATTGTTGTTGTCCCCAAGTCCACCCTGACCCACAGTGGTAGCAACTGTTAGGGTTCCAGCTACAAGCAAATAGTGAACCTCCAAGCAAAAACAATACACTATGAAAGTATAAAAATACATTTTTATAGTATAGTATTTTATAGTAAAAATTACCATTTTTATATAAAAGAAAATGACCAACAATACATATTTATAGTAAAAACATCTATGCCAATGATACAACAATATACAGGTGCATCTCTAAAACTCTTGATGATTAGACATTGGCAGATGATTTCTCATCCGATCTAGCACAAACTACTCAGTGGGGAAAAAACTAGCTGATTACATTCAATGCCTTGAAAACCCAACTAGTTACATTCCATCATTGATGAGCAGATCCCCAAACTGCGGCCAGTCACAATGAACAGATGTCCCTCTGGGTAGGCTCTATGTCTTTAGAGACTATTGGGCCTTAAACTCACACCCAGAACTCAAGTTCTTAAATATGATCCATTGCTAAAGATGCAAGAAATGATCCATTGCTAAAGATGCAAGAAAAATGGTCAGTTCCCTGTACTGCTCCAGTAAGTACCTGATTCCTCATGCTACCTGCTACCTTTACAAGAGCCAAGGTAAAAAATGGAGTATTTTTTTTTAAGCTTTTCACCCCAAGCAAGGCAGGAGTGCCACTAGCACACAAGGGCTTACTGAGAGTGGGAGCAAGATTAAAGAGGTGTGAAAGAGGAAAGGATGAAGAGAAGGATGGGGAATAGATCAAAGCATCTGGAGATGTTGATTGACATTGCATTTGAATAGTTGGAGATTATGGCTATCAGGGAAGCAAGTAAGAGGAAGGGAGTTCCACAGATGGGAAGTGTAAGACATGAAGCTATTGGAGCAGAAGAGAATGCTACATTTAACTGTTTCAACAGTGAAACGGTGGGACTGAGATGCCAACTTAGTGGCATGTTTAAATTCATGCAGTTTGGGAATTAGCGAAGCAGTTACCGTGAACATATTTATAGAAAAGACAGAGGGAGGCAATAGTACATCTGTAAGAAAGCAACTGTAAATGAGATGCCAGATTAGGGCCAACCACATTGCATATCCATCTCTGGATATTGTCTATGACCCTAAGACAAACAGCGGGGGCTCCAGACAATATTCCATGCAAGGGTGAATAGTTGATTTATAAATTTGAAGGATGGACTCAGGTGAGAAAAGCTTTCTGGCACAACATAGAGAACCAACTTTCCTTGCAGTAGATGAAGATATTGATTCATTGTAATTGTTCCATCCCAAGTTAGCGAACAGTGTGAGACCAAGCAGTCACAAAGAGGTGTTCTGATGGAATTGAGCATCAGACATTCTAATGGGAGACAGGGAGGGTTCTTTGTGGTGGGTAATAGAGAGTAGTTTTGTTTTTGAGACATTAAAGTTAACCAACCATTTCCTGCCCCAGTCAACAATGCATTGGAGGTCCTTTTCAAGACCAACGGCCAGGTTAGTTTTGTCAGCGATACCAGATTTGCTATTTAGGCAGGAGTAAAAAGTAGTGTCGTCTGCATAGATGCCAACTTGGGAACTGATAACATTGGGAAGATCATTAATGCAGGTAAAGAACAGTGTAGGACCAAGGATAGTGCCTTGGAGAACACCAGCATTCATGAAAAAGGAACTGGAGAAGAATCCATTGAGGATGACCTTCATTAAACAGTTTGATAGGAATGATTGTATTAAGTCAAATAATCGTCCTGAAACACCATATCCCTGAAGCTTATGAAAGAGGCCGGTATGCCAAACCCTAGCAAATGCTTTAGAGATATCTAGAGGCATGGCATGAGCTTCTCCATTATTGTGAAGTGCTTGGTAAACAAATTCACTTATGGCTGTAAGCACATCAGCTGTAGATTGGGCAAAGCGGAAACCATATTGCTTGTCAGAGGATATAACCACTTCAGTCTTGATTAAAGCATCAAAGACTTTGCTGAAGAGTGGTAAGAGACTGATAGTATGGTAGTTAAATGTGTCAGAGTTCTTAAAGACAGGTACAACAGATGAAGACTTCCAACAGGATGGTTGAGGGAGAAGTCGTTGAGGGAGTAGTTATATAATTTGGAGAGGGCAGGGGCCAGTTCAGGAGCACATTTCTTCAGGACAATGGCTGGTATTCCATTCTCATCACTAGCCTTATGGGAGGTTATGTGCAACTTGCTCAACAGAGCCTCAGTTCTAGGGGTGAAATGGGATGCAGGTACACCAGACGAGTCAAGCATTGAGTTGGATGAGAATTTCTGAACAAAGCAATCAGCCTTATCAGCTGAGGTAGTCAGGACCTCAAATTGGTTGAATAAAGGAGATATTGTAGGTTTGCTGTTGTTTAGCATGGTCTTGCAGGAGTTCACTTTTGTGAAATCTGATTCTCATTGATCAGTCATGTATGTCCAACAAACATGTTTGTTGGTTTTATCATGTGTTGATATTGGAATGTTTTTATTTACATACTGTCAGCATTAGACAGATATAATTTTGATTCTTTAAGAATGGGTTCAATAAAGATTGGTGATGTAATATAATGTTTTAAACATACACAATTACGAATACACATTATCATCCAACTCCCACATAGACAAATTAAAATTTTTACGAACTTGCACCAAATTGAAAATACCAAAATTTCTGTCTTTTTCTCTATTTTGTCTCAATCTCTGATGAATAAAAGTGAAACATGTATGTAAGTTTGTAAAAATTCTAATTTGTCTATGTGGCCATCGGATGACATTGTGTATTGTGTATTCATATATGTCTATGGAGAAAGATACCCTATTTAAAGTTGGCTTCCTATCTTGTATTACAACAGCCTCCAGAAATTTGAGTCTTTCTTTGCATAATTGTTCTGATTTGACAGTTCTTTTGTTTAAGTCATGATTCCTTTCAATTCGGTAAGCTCAATCGCTTGTGAAGTCTGCAAAAACTCTCTTTTAACCAAACTTCTTCTGATATTTGTTTTACGAATGCAAATAATGTGTGTGGGGGTGGTGTTGAAATTAGTGATAATCTAATTTCAATAACAATAGAGTTAAAATAAAAATCAAGCATTCAGCTAAGTTATATACACAGTGTGGACATATGAATCAACACTGCATGGTGACTATCAGTTTCATGCCTCAAGTGATCTTCAGACAATGTGCTGAATCTATATATATATATATATTAATATATTTTCTGTTTATATGTTATTTTTATAGATGCAAATATTTAAGTAAATCCTCTGTTTATAATAAACAATATTAACTACATTTACTGGCCTGAATGTATGAGAAATTACATTGAAAATATATGTCCTCTGACAGGAATTGAACCTGTATCCTACACAGAAGTGTCATATAGCCTGATGTGCTATACCATTTAGCAACAGAGGAAACTTGTGGTTAGCAAAGTCAAATTACTGTTTTTAAACAAAAAATTTCCCATGATTTTTCTTAAATGCTCATATCTGCTCAAAGAATATCTTAATGTAAACAAATGACATCATATATTATGAAATGGACTAAGTCTGACAATTTGACTTCGTTAACCTTATTTTCTAATTATTTCATCATCATTGACTTACTAAATTATGTTCTTCTCTACATGTCTTGGAAAAAAATTATACCATTAATTTAAATAATTTAATCTAGTTTGGTTACAGTATATTTGTATTAGACAGGAGACATGTATTGTGGTCAGTGCAGTTTCAAAAGAAATAGAGTGCCGCACACATACTATTGACAAGTGCAACCCTACTACTGTTTGACACAGGGACTTTTGTCTGCTGTGTTTCCTGCCCTCAACCGGGCCAGCCCTCAGTCAACCTGATCAATTGAAGCACCCTCTAGTTAGCCATATTGATGCCAGGCTTAGTGCAGATGTCTGATCATCATAACACAATGTACAACAGAACCCCCAAACTCAAACTGGCCACCTGACCATGCCTCCAAGTAGCTGGATTACAGGAGGATGCCAACACCCCTGGCCAAAAAACTGGCATCCACTCATACCTTCACTTTTTTATTTCTCCTTTTACTTCAACAAGTCTAAATCTTCTTCTTCTTCAGTTCTTTTTCTTTCTCTTTTCTTCAGCCAATCTCAAATATTTTTATTCTTCTTCATTTCTTCTTTCACCTATTTCTTCAGCCAATCTTTAATCTTCTTTTTCTTAATCATTTCTTCCTTTTTTCTTCTCTTTTTTTTCAGCCAATCTTAAATTTTCTTCATCTGCTGCTTCTTCATTTCTTCCTTCTTCTTTTCCTTCAACCAATCTTCATTTTTTCTTTCTTTTTTCTTTTACTTTTCTTTCAGTCAATCATAAAATTTCTTCTTTGTTTTTCCTTGTTTCCTCTCATTTTCCTTCAGCCAATCTTACAATTTTCTTATTTTTCTTTGTTCTTTTCTTCTTTTTCCTTCTCTTTTCCTTCAGCCATTCTTAAATCTTCTCCTTCATTTCTTACATCATTTTTCCTCGTCCTTTTTTCTGCAGCCAATCTTAGATCTTTTCTTCTTCATTTCTACTTACTTTTCTTCTCCTTTTCCTTCAGCTAATCTTAAATTTTCTTATTCGTTTTTCCTTCTTTTTTCTTCTTTTTCTTCAGCCAATCTTCAATCATCATTTTCATTTCTTTCTTCTTTTTTATTCTCCTTTTTCTTCACAATTTTACATTTTCTTCATTTCTTCCTTATTTTTTCTTCTTTTCTTTCAGTTCATCTTAAATCTCTTTTTCTTCATTTCTTTCTTCTTTTTTTTGCTCTTTTTTCTTCAGCCAATCTTAAATCTTTTTATTTCTTCCTTCTTCTTTTTGTCCTTTTCCCCCAAGCCAATTTTAAATCTTTTCCATTTTTCTTTATTTCTTACTTCTTTTTTTCTTTTCTTTTCCTTTAACCAATTGCAAATCTTCTTCATTTCTTTCTTCTTTTTTCTCCTTTTCTTTCAACCAATATTAAATCTTCTTCTTTTTTCTTTCTTTCTTTTTTTCTTATGCTTCTTCTTCAGCCAAACTTAAATCTTTTTGCTCTTCTACTTCATTTCTTTCTGCTTTTTTCTTCACCTATTTTTTCAACCAATCTGAAATCTTCTTCATTTTTTATTTCTTTTTGTCTCCTTTTCCTTTGGCCAAGTTTACATCTCCTTCATCCTTTTCTACATTTCATCCTTTTTTCTTTTTCTTTTCTTTCAGTGCATTGTAAATCTTCATTTCTTTCTACTTTTCCCTTCTTTTTTTCAGCCAATTGAAAATTTCATTCATCTTTTTCTTAATTTCTTCCTTCTATGTCTTCTCCTTTTCTTTCAGCCAATCTTAAATCTTCTTTTTCTTTTATTACATTTCTTCTTCTTCTTCTTCTTCTTCTTCTTCTTTTCCTTCAACCAATTTTTAATCTTATTTTTCATTTCTTCCTTCTTATTTTTTATGCTTCTTCTTCAGCCAATCTTAAATCTTTTTCTTCTTATTATTCCTCTTCCTCTTCATTTCTCCCTTCTTTTTTCTCTGCTTTTCTTTTTCAGTTAATCTTTTTCTTCTTCATTTCTTCCTTCTTTTTGCCTTCTCCTTTTCCTTCAGCCAGTCTTAAACCTTAAGTCTCTTCTTCATCTTGGGAATGATTGTCCAGCATTCACTGCCATAGGAGAGGACTGATATTATGTAAAAAGTGTTCTAATTCTATAATATTTGCCAGGCTTTGTATATAAAAAGTGATACGATGGAAAAGTACATTGCTATAATATAGTGTATAAAGAAAGCATAATGCCTGTTATGATGTATGGATGCAGAAAATGGAAATTAACAATATCACTTGAAAATGAACTCAGAAACACACAAAGGTTAATGGAAAGAGCAATGTCACATATAAATCTCAGAGATAGCGATTAACATAGTTTATGGAATAAACCAAGATATGATGTGATTAAATGACAAAAATTGAGGTGGGCAGAATACATAACAAGAAGGTGAAAAGTTGTTTGATTGGTGTCTGATGGGTAACAAACAATAAGAAAAGAGCAGACAGAAGTTGGAGAGTAGGGATAGAGGGCTTTGTGGGTAATTCATGTCAGAGAATAATGCAGTCATTATATACATACATGTATATATGAGATAACAATATATATTTTTATATATCAGGAACAATTTTGGAGAAAAATGTGTTAAAGTGGAAAAAGTTTTCTTGTAATGAATTTTGGCCTTTAGGACTTAATCAGGCTAGCATAACAAATTTAGGACTTCATCACACCAACGTAACAAATTTAGTCTGATGAAGTCCTAAATGCAAAAACGTGTCATGAGAAAGCTTTTTGCACTTTGTCATGCATTTTTCACTAATATATACTGATTGTAACAGCAAAATTGTCCAGATCAAGTAACATCGGATAATTGTTCATCCCACAAAATGTTTAATATCTAAAAAACCATGAAACTAATTGTTTTTTCCCCAGGTTTTCAGATAAGACATTTAGCCATCTTTGTCATAAGAATCACTGAAAAACCCTATGAGTTATTCAGCTAGAAAGAAAGCAGGTTAAAATCATTTTGTGTCAGCCCCACTATATCTTCCCAACTGAGCAATGGCGAGAGGAAAAAGATCATTCTGGCCTTCAGTAATGATACCAACATTAATACTTTGGCTTCTGTCTTCAAAGTCCATTCAAGAACAATCAAGAGAATGGTGAACAAGTTTTAAAAAGAGGGAACAGTAGAGGGGAAAACTGGATCAGGAGGTCACAACAGCAAGAGGGATAATCATTTCAAATTAGAGCTAAATACATTCTTATTGATCAAAGTAGAGTCTAGTAGTGTTATAAAAACATCAGAGAATTCCAGTAAGATATCTTTAATCTTTTTTAAGATACAGTAGTTCAAAGCTTAATCCAAAAATTGGAAAATTTTGTTATTACATGATTTGAACAATTTTGCTGTTATACCCAGTATCTACAGTAAATCCATTACATTTACTTACGTGCTAATACCCTTGGGAAAGTTATGAATCCTCTTCTTCTCCCCCCAGCTATGGGTAAATAACAGGACGGACCAGGTTCTATAGCCTTGGATGGCAACTGGTCTACCACAGGAAGAATAGCAACCTACTGCTTCATCCGTCATGTATCAAAAGATACATGATCGCTTAAGCATGTATCCTGCAAGGTATATAACTGACTGACTGATATACAGGGTGTCTATAAAGTCTCTTTACAATTTGTAGAATTTATTACAAAAGCAAATGAACAAACAAATATATGGAAATTGTTACAAAATGAGGAGTAGATACTGAAGATTTTTTAAACTCTTTTAATATACCTCTATATTGACACCATTAGTTGCATGAAGCACATCAAGACAATACTCAATTTCTTGCCAGTAATTTTTTGATTTATATCAGCGTTGTCTTGTGTCTTTGTTTGCTGCATGGTATTTTCAAAATAACCCCATAGAATGAAGTCTAGGGGAGTGATATCTGGTGAATGACGTGGCCAAGGAATTGGGTTATCCCTTCCAATTCATTGGTCTGGAAATGTTAGGGGTTCATATAACAGTGCCTCTTTCATCAACAGGAAACCTGAAATATACAAATGCAATGTGATTAAAAATTTGGATAACTGATTAAGATAACCCATCAATTGCTTTTACAGTATATTTTTTAAATTGTAAAGAGACTTTATGGACACCCTGTATATATATATATATATATATATATATATATATATATATATATATATATATATATGTACAGGTGGTCTTTGATTTATTTAGGAGATCCATTCTTACAGCGTGACATAACCTGATTTTTGACAGGTCGGAAGTCACCTACATAAGCACCAATGAGTCTGCCTTACACTTGGAAGCCATAATGAAGGTCAAAATTTTCCAAAAAAACAACACAAACAAGAGATAGCGAATATAACACAATCCAATATAGCATAGAGCCAATGAAGAAACAACACCATCTTCCTCATATGACATATTGATGACATATTATATTATGGGAAATAATGCCTTAACTATGAAATGCTGTACGTCAGGTCTGATGTAACCTGAGGACCATCTGTATACATAAATACATACATATATATATATATATATATACATATATATATATGAATAAAAACAAAAGGAAAACTTATCTAACTGATGATTCTTCTTTATGTAATGTCCCCTCTCAGGAAATAGGCAATCATGGCTCTCCCCCATTCCCTGTCTTTTAAAGTAGCTCTTAATAAATTTGCTCTTTCTGTTATTTATCCTAAACCTTGTTCGACCATCCATTCATGCAAGTATGTTATGCATTTTTTCCTCTGTCTCTCTTGCCTATCCTGTGAGTATCAGATTTTCCAAGCCTTCTTTCCTCATTATATTCCCTAGAAATTTCAAGTATCTCTTTTTATGTTATTTATAAGTTTCCTTTTTTTCCATTTTCTCTAAAACTGCTCACATGTTTGGTCCATGGTATTCTCAGCATTCTTCTGTAGAACCACATTTCTGTTGCTTCAAGTCTCTTCATCTTTGCAGAGATTGTGCAGCATTCACTGCCATATAGGAGGACAGATATGTAATTGTTTAATCCTCTTTTCTTTGTTTCTAATGAAATTTTCCTGTTTCTTAATACTCTGCTTAACCTTTAGAAAGCATCTTTTGCTATCCCAATTCACTTTCAAATTTAGACAATAAAGAAGAGTATAATAATATTAGCATTAACAGGACATGTATTTGTTTAGCACAGTACAAGCAAAATAGCTTTCTTTTGTTTCTAACAAAATTTTCTTATTTCTTAATACTCTGCTTAGACTTTGAAAGGCATCTTTCACTATTCCAATTCACTTTCAAATTTAGACAATAAAGAAGAGTATAATAATATTAACATTAACAGGACATGTTTGTTTAGCACAGTACAGGCAAAATAGCTTTTCTTTGTTTCTAAAGAAATTTTCCTGTTTCTTAATACACTGCTTAGCTTTTGGAATAAATCTTTCACTATCCCAATGCACTTTTGGATTTCAGTGTTGGACCTTTTTCCTCTGTTAAAATCCTTCCTAGATATTTAAATTTTTGTATTTGTTGGCATCTTCGATATGGCTTTGGGAATAAATAAATATTAGTTGTTTATATTTGAGAATATATCTATTTACTTGATTCAGGGATAGATAAATACTGGTTCTTTCTATTTGAGTCTATATGCATTTACTTGGTTTGGAGATGAGTAAACATTGGTCATTTATATTTGAGTCTCTAAGCATTTATTTATTTTAAATAAATAGATGTCTGTTGGCTTGATGTGTGGATACAAATATTTTATTCATTCAAATTTATTTGTATATTTTTGTATAAGTTTTCTTTTGTGTATTTTTCATTGTCTCTATATTTTGGTGTTAAGAATAACATTAGGTTATAGGATTATTATTTTTGTGCTTTTGGTTTGATGTGGCACAGATGGAATTTGTTTTTCATGCCTGCATTTGGAAATGAGTTCTGATCTTTTATTAGAGATTAAGTTGAAAACACTATTTATTCTAAGCAAATCTTACATTGTTTTGAGCTGTTGTTATCTGGTGCTGTTTTTTCATTCTGTGTTATTTTTTATGTGTGATTGGTGTTTGTTTTTAAGTTGTCATATATGTTTTGATAGGGTAGTACTGTTAATCATTGAATGACAGAAAATATGCAAACATGATTTTAACACATGCTTTCTATTTTTAACTTGCAGGAAATTGAAGGAGATGATGAAAATGAACATAAACCGTTTATGATACCAGAGTGCCAAAGTGAAAGTGAAGATACCTGGAGTGATATTGAGACAAGAAACAGTGCAGTCATACCAGGTATTTTATGATATCTATCTATCTATCTATCTATCTATCTATCTATCTATCTATATATATATATATATATATATATATATATATATATATGGATATATAGATATATCATATTCATTTCTTCTGAATCAAATCTATCATAAATTTTGATCTAATATCCAATCAATCTAAAACTAATAAGCAAAGCTATTTTTGAACTAAAATATTCTAATTCTGACTTTAAATAATTCAGCTAACATTGATATAATTGTTATAGCCTGAAAAACAACACCTTCCTTAGATTTATGGACCAATCAGAATGATTCCCAAAACACAGCTTTTCTGATTCAACTAACTTTTATGTAAGGACTGTAGCAAAGGAGTCAAATTCAATATGGAGTGTAAGGGACACAACTCTTTCCATAGGAAAATGTCTGACATGACGCAACGCAAAGCAATGTATCCCAAACATGGGTGTGATGCCTTCTGCCAATTTCTCCAAGCGATCTGCTTTTATGAAGCCCAGACACACTTCATTAGCATGCGTGTAACATGACCTTATGAGACTGCATGAGACCGTGAATATTAAAAAGTCACAGATGCCATCTCGGACCCTTTCTTTCTTTTCTCAACCCACAGGCCAGACAGACGCGAGGGCGTTTGGGAGGTAAGCCATTTCTATTTTCCAGAGCCAGAGTCGAGTCTATTCATTTGTCTCTTCAAGCATACACTCTCTCACTGAACACATCAGTTTTCCAGTTAAAAAAAGTCAAAACAACTGGTAAATCTTACTCAAGCCCAAAGGTAAATTTCTTGATGGGGTTGTTATCAGCTTGTGTTTACTAGACCTTTCTTCATTGATGGAAATATTACAGGTGGAAACTACTTCAACATTTTGAGCCTTGTTTTATGGCACAATTCACTAGAAAGTAATAGAGTAACTTAAAATGAATTCAAATCCAAATCTAATTATTTTAAATCCAGTGAGAAAATCTTTAGGACTAAAATTCAGATAACAAAGGATTCAGCTAACAGAATCTGGATATGCTGCTGTAGTTTAAAAAGAAAATCCTTTCTTAGATTTATTGACCAATCAGAATGCTATACTTTGATGCTTCTTTACTTACTACTTACTTATCTGAAGATTTGATTATACTGCTGCAGGTTTCCCTGCGACTGGGGTAAGCAACAGTTGGCTAGATCTCAAGAGAATTTTTTTTTTTTTTAAGCGTTTCACCCCAAGCAAGGCGGGAAGCCACTAGGATGCAAGGGGTTACAGGAATTAGCAAGATCAGATAGGAGTGATAGAAGGAAGGATGAGGGTAGTGGAAAGATTAAGGCAACTGGAGATGTCAATTGACATTACATTTGAATAGCTGGAGATTATAGCTCACAGGAAAACAGGAGAAGGGAAGGGAGTTCCACAGGCGAGAGGTGCGAGACATGAAGCTATTAGAGTAGAAGAGACGGCTACATTTAGGAGTTTCGACAGTGAGTGGGTGAGAGCGGGATGCCAGCCTCGTAGGGTGCTGGAACTCATGACATCTGGGAACCAGCGAATGCAGCTCCTCGGAGCAATTTCCATGAAAGTATTTGTAGAACAGACAGAGGGAGGCGACGGCGTGTCTGTGAGAAAGTGACTGTAGACGAGATGCCAGGGCAGGGTAGGGCAGGGCCAACGATATTGCATATCCGTCTCTGGAGCCTATCAAGAACCCCGAGGCAAACAGAAGGGGCACCAGACCATATATGGCAGCAATACTTCATGCAAGGGCGAATTGTGGATTTGTATATCTGGAGGATTGACTCAGGGGAGAAAAACTTCCTAGCGCGGCTCAGGGAGCCAACTTTCCTCGCAATAGACGAGGCAATTGACTCGATGTATTTATTCCATCTCAGGTCAGCAGTGGTTTCAAAGTTTTCATGTCACAGCCGGTTCTAGCTAACATCCCAACTCAAGTCTTTGCAATATTTGAGAAATTCACCATTCCCATAACTGAGCTGTGCACCTCGCCATTGTCCACATGGGGAGGATCATCCACTAGACCACTGTAGCAACCGTATCAGGACATCTGTTTGTCAAAGACTGTCGTTGAAGCCAACTACCACCCAGTTTGTGGCAAGGTTTATTTCACTATAAAAATGCATTTCCACACCTTCACAGTGCTTGACCCCAGTTTAGGGTTTAACTATTTTCCCATAGCTGGAACCCTAACAGGTACTACCATCCTGGGTCAGGTTGGGTCTGGGAACAACAGAAATTAAGAGGTGGTTCCACACTCCTGAAAACCTCCAATCTCCCGATCAGAGACTTTGCTGCTGGATGTAGTTTATCATCATACACGTGTTTGATCTTGCTAAATCTTATATAAAGGACAATGTCTACCAGTTTAATCAGAACCATGCTTATTCATCTCTCTAATGCTGTTACATATACACGCACATTTATGTGCTGCATGTTTACTCGGTATGACCATTGCCAACAAATTATGATCAGTGTTTTCAGTTCTCTGTTGAAACCTACAAGTGACTTGCAATGCTTACTGCAGATGCAACAGATTAAGCTGTTTTGTACAGGGCCTGGCCTGTTTTGTAAAGTCTGTTCAGCTTCTGTCTATATTTCTGAGATGAGGTATTATGTACACTATTTACATTATTCGGACTATTGTCCTCATCTTTGTTGCCATATTTATCACAACGTTTCAGCCAGTGTACACTCCAGCCTTCTTTAGGTGGTTGGAATGTTGAACTGAACCTTTTATTTTGCTCACTGGGGTAGACTGTTCTAGTTCCACATGCCATGACTAATGAATGTCTCCTGTTAATTCCCCTCTCAAAGTTCTCCACTGCCTTAACCAACACTCTTTGGGTCCTTGAGGACACATGGCACAGTGGATAAAGGTGTTAGTTAGATCCAGTGACAGGATCCAAAGAGTGTGAGTTCAATATCTGTTCAACTGGTTCATAGCTTTTCATGGGACCAGAGCAGTTTCTGCAGGTTTTCTGACACACCCTGCAAGTTAATTTATTTTCAGTGTAGTACTTAACATAATTTTTGAAAGGTCTACCAATGGAACTCTTGTGACTAACCAGGCCTGTTTTGCAGAGACATACTCTTTCACCTGGGTGAAGAAGGTGGCTGCTGGAAGACTCTATGTCTGGCAACAGAACTCTGCACCATGCCACACAAGCAGGAGAATCCAGTCATGGCTGTCAGATAATTTCTGCAACCACGTCACACATCTGGCCACCTAACTCCCCAGACTGATTATTATGTGTGGGACGCAGTTGACCGAGAGACCAACAAAACTCCTTGTAAGAGCAAAGATGAACTGAAGGCAAGGAATATGGCATCATTCACCAATTTAAACAAGGAGATCATCCAGAAGAAATGCAGGAGATTCCTAAGTCGTCTGGAGGCCAATCGCAATTTTATTGAATAAATTTACTCTTTAGTATTTCAAGATATTTTTGTGTAATTTTGGTAAATATATCTGGTAAAATGAGATATCAGCATTATTTTCATTTTTGCATAATTTAAAAGGTTATGCATTGCACTCCCCTCTCTCTCTATATATATATATATATAGAGAGAGAGAGAGAGAGAGAGAGAAAGAGGGAGAGAACTAGTAAAATAAAAGGTTTGTCACTTAGCTGATTGACGTTACCTTCAGCATCCCAACTCCAGAGTTTCATAGATAGACCTGTCCGTCCACTTGTCAGGGGTATTAGCAATTGACTGCTTATATCTTCATGATTTTTCTTTTTTATATGCAATTATCATTGATGCAAGATTTTTTGTCTTTTTCATAGTGTATGTGTGCATTTGCCCCCATGCCTCTATCTGCACTAATGTGCATAGGTGTAGGATGCCGTGATTATTTGTCTTTTCTATCACTTTTTTCCTCCACTTTACACTCATTCCTTAACCTTTTTCTCTTTTTTCTTTTTCCTTTTTCCTTTCCGTTGTTGCCATTTGGTTTCTGTCTTTTTTTTTTAGGCCAGATTTTTGTTGAGTTAGGAAAATTGTATTTCATATTTTACATAAATAATTAATTTTAATGCTTAAATGATAAAGTATATATTTATATATGTATTCACTTGGTTATTATTTCATTTTCTTATCTGATTTGGTGATATAGTTAAAAATTCCAGATAGAGTATATCTGTAAAAGGACAATTTGAATATAGACTAAAGGAAAACTTATCTTAGCTGATGCGTTTCATTCTGTATCTGTCTATATTTCTGAGATGAGGTATTATGTACACTATTTACATTGTTCGGACTATTATCCACAGCTTTGTTGCCATATTTATCACAACGTTTTACCACAAAAATCTCCTGAGCCAACCAAGCATAGAAATGAATACAATATGGCAATCAGTAATAAGGAGTGCCAGAGAAAAGCAATAATAACAATGAAAATATAAGCTCTGGTAAAACATAATTTATAACAGCAAAAATTATAATATGAGCACTGGTAAAAAATGATGCTGAAGACATTAGGTTTATAATACCCAGAAATTCATACACAGATGTCCTCAAGGACACATGGCACAGTGGATAAAGACGTTAGTTAGATCCAGTGTTAGTTCAATACCTGGTTAAGGCAGTGGAGGACAGAGAGGGTAATTAACAGGAGATAACTGATGACTGACATCCATGGCACATGGAACGAAATAAAGGGTTCAGTTCAGCATTCTAACCACCTGAAGGAAGCTGGAGTGTACAACGACCGAAACGTTGTGATAAATAAGGCAACAAACAATGTAAATAGCGTTTCATTCTTTGAGGGACTTTATCAATTCGACTCATTGGATCTTTTTGGAAGATCTTAGTACATTCATGAATCATATACCTCCATTTACTGCAGTCAAAATTCAACAGTTTCTCACTATATATCTATATAACAGACTGCAAGAGCCTCTTTTAAACAATCTTTGAAGTACTTCTTTAGGATCAGCTGCCATAGAGCATCCATCTAAGTGTTCTGCTGTCATCATCATAGCCACATGTACAAAAA